ATATGATACAGTTCTTCCCTCTATTTAAAAGTTTTAAATCATGAATTAAGAATAAACATTTTAAAGCATATGATGACAGAGATTGTAAATGAAATTATTCAGAAAAGAGCGCCTTAATGAAAACATTCTAATCAATGACACCAGGAAGGGCTTGGGAATCAGCAGGACAAGACCCAGTCTGTAGCCTTGCCTCCTTGGAAAGCAGACTTCACCACCAAGTGATGGCTGCTCTGATCAGTCAGTGGGGCCTGCAATAGGGTTTCTTTCAGTGCACCTTCCTCTCCTCAAGGAAAGGAGCTGAAATGGAAGCACGAGGGACTTAGGAAAGGTATAGAGGAGAGATTTTCAGGACAAAGTCTTGTGTGGTGAAAACTCCAGACTGTCATATCCTTTGAAAAAGGGTATTGAGTGAGGTAATTGGGGGCACTTCTCATCCACAGGGAGGAAATAATAAATGCCTTCCACAAAGGGTGTAGAAAAGTTTGGAAGAAATGCTAAGATTGGTTAAAATGGGAGTCATAAAGAAACACAGGAAACCTGGAAGAGAACACTTCATGCCCAAACACTGACAGAATCTTTAGTGGTTAGAAAAAGTCTTTCAGAAATAAAAATTTTAGCAGAGAGAAAGTTTATCCCTCATCCATAAAGGGATCACAGGGGGTGGGCTGGACCATGGGGGAAGGGTCTCATGATTAATGAGGAAACAGAACCTTACCTTTGGAAAGAAACCCTCACTGAGTGAGGTCCAGCGCCCAGCTGAGAGATTTTATTCCCTGACACTCCTCACTGCACCTACTGTTCTCTCCCTCTGCTGTGACTAAGAAAATTTACTTTTATATTCACAAATCCTTGGAGAACCCTCCTCGGTCACATCTCTGTCCCCAGTCTCTGGCAATTAAGCTCCAAGGGACGGGAAGCTCCTGCGAAGTTCTCTGCTCATCTCAGCTGTTCCAACAAGAAAACTCTTTCTCAGGGGGAGGTGGAGAGAACTGGGAAATGAGGGTAACGTAGGGGCATTAAGTGGTCTGAGCCCCAGTGTCCTTGTCTGTAAAGGCACAGAATGATCACCACAAAACATTTGTAGTAAAATTAAAATGAATAGACAATCTAAAGTCACCTACCCACGGGATGTCCTGAGAATTGTAGTTACTATTAGTGTCACTGCCCTCCATTCTCTCCAAGCCTGAAAACTAAGCAAATGCTTTCCTGTGGTTTAGTCCAACTTCCAGAACACAATTTGTTCTTCTTTTTTTTTTTTTTCTGAATGCAACAACGAATATTTTTTTCCGGAAAAAAATCTTATTGCAGCTGGTACAGAGATAACTACAAATATTTGAAAGTGTCTTCAAATAAAGATCAAATTCTGCCACTTATGTTCCAAATATAATTTCCCAAGGGAAAATAGTAGAACGAATTTCCCTCTTAGAGGAACGGAAATAATAAAATGTGGCTAATTTTGTTGGAGGATTAGATATACAACACTTTCCTGTGTATTTCTTATGTGTCAGATAATAAAAGTCTTTACCCCTTTCCTCAAGACTCCAAAAGATGGGGCACCAGAGTGGCTCAGTCTTTAAGCATCTGCCTTCAGCTCAGGTCAGGATCCCAGGGTCCTGGGATTGAGCCCCATATCAGGCTCCCTACTCAGCAGGAAGCCTGCTTCTCCCTCTCTCGCTCCCCCTGCTGTGTTCCCTCTCTCATTGTGTCTCTCTGTCAAATAAATAAATAAAACCTTTAAAAAGAATCCCAAAGACTTTGCACTTTGCTCTATAAAGACTTGAGGAGGTCTGTAAAAAGTTCCTGGTCTCACAAATAAACCAAATAAAAAATAGGCAGGGGACATGAACAGACATTTGTCCCCAGAAGACATGCAGATGGCCAAAGAACATATGAAAAGATGTTCATCACCATTACCATCAGGGAAATGCATATAAAAACTACAATGAGCTATCACTTCACACCTGTCAGAATGGCTAAAATCAACAGCACAAGAAATAACAGGTATTGGCGAGAATGTGGAAAAAAGGAACATTGTACATTGTTGGGAACGCAAACTGGTGAAGTCACTCTGGAAATCGGTATAGAGTTTCCTCAAAAATTTAAAAATAGGAGTACCTGGGTAGCTCAGTTGGTTAAGCGTCTGCCTTCAGCTCAGGTCATGGTCCTGGGATTGAACCCTGTGTCAGGATCCCCCTCAGTGGGGACTCTGCTTCTCCCTTTTCCTCTGCCCCCCGTTCATGGCTCTCTCCCTCATTGTCTCTCTCTCAAATAAAGGGGAAAAAAATCTTTTAAAAAAGTTAAAAATAGAAGACCCTATGATTCAACAATCACACTACTATTTTCTCAAAGAGTACAAAAACTAATACAAAGGGATACAAGCACCCAGATATTTATAGAAGCATTATCTATAATAGCTAAGATACGGAAGTAGCCCAAGTGTCCATAGATAGAGGAATGGCTAAAGATGTGGTATGTGTAAATGAAATGCTATTCAGCAATAAAAAGAATGACATATTGCCTTTGGAAAGACATGGATAGAGAAAGAGAGTATGATGCTACGTGAAATAAGTCAGAGAATGACAAATGCTATATGATTTCACTCATATGTGGAATTTAAGGAAAAAAACAAAAAGTAAACAGAAAAAAAGAGAAAGACAAATCAAGAAAGACTTAGAGGGAGAAAGACAGAAATCAAGCAATAGACTCGTAACTATAGAGAACAAACTGATGGTTACTGCGGAGATAGGTGACATAGGTTATGGGGATTAAGGAGTGCACTTATGATGAGCAAAGGTGACGTGTGGAATGTTGAATTACTATACTGTATACCTGAAACAAATATAACACTGTATACACTGTATATTAACTAATTGGAATTAAAATAAAAACTTAAAATTCAAAAAAAACCACCCCACTTATATATTAAAAAAGTTTCTACTTACAGAACAGGAAGGGTGAGCACTCTCTAAAGAGAATTTTATAAACTTGTGTTTTGTCCTCTGGATGCATTTCATCTAATATATATTGTGATATCTTTAATAAATAAGACAAATCATATCTCTATATACATATATGGAATATTGTAGTTGCCTGGCATTGTGGTAGGCTCTGAATCAATGGTAGAGTTTAGCAATGAGTTAAGAAGTTAAGCTCAGGGCTTCCTCTAATTGTAGAAATCATTCCAGTTTTAAACAATAAGTGATAATAATCCCATTGCCTTACTTCTACACAGTGCTTGGGTTTACAAAGTCCTACATTCCAATGTAATACATTTTACAAATGAACTAGCTCGGAAAATATTTGGTAAAAAAAAAAAAAAAAGCTGGTTTTTCACTAGACACAGAGAGGGTTAAGGTTTAAAAAGACATCTCCAGGCCTGCAGGTGTTATGATCATCACTATTAATGAGGAATTAGAGCCTCACATAGAGCTTATTTGCTCAAATTCACAGAATCAAGGGATGGCACAGGGTGTTCTGGTCCTTCAGTGCTGGCTGCCAATCCTGCAATGGTCCAACGCCTTTCTCAGGGCCCCCATCACCTCCTGGTTTCTCAAGCTATAAATAAGGGGGCTGGGCATAGGAGTAAGGATGGTATAGAAGATAGAGATCACCTTGTCATGGCTAGGGGCCCGGTAGCGCCGGGGCCTCAGGTAGATGAACATGGCTGCCCCATAGAAGAGGAAGACAGGTGTCCGATGGGAGGAAGAGATGGCCAGGGCCTTTTTGCCAGCCTGAGCAGAACATGCACTCTGGATATGAGCATAGGAGGCCACAATGATGGAGAAGGGAAGAAACAGCATGAAGATACAGCAAGCATATATAACGTTGTCAAAAATGGCTGTGTCTATACAGGCCAGTTTCAACAAGGATAGCATCTCACAAAAGAAGTGGTTCACTTCCCTCAAGCCACAGTAGGGAAAGGTCATTACTACCACCATCTGGATCACACCATCTATTATCCGAAAGGCCCAAGAGCTCCCGACAATCTGGAGGCAGACCCTCTGACTCATGAGGACAGGATAGTGAAGTGGGTGGCTAATGGCCACATAGCGGTCATAAGCCATGAGTCCCAGCAAGAGCCCCTCAGGTCCCAGAAGACAGACAAATTGGCCAATTTGTATACCACAACCCACAA